ATGTTTTCATTGTTGATGTTTAAGAGAAGGTTACTTCGATGGCGATAATCAAGTGCAAAAAATCCTCAGATTGATAGCGCTTCAAATAATTTGTCTTTGCATCATTTATTTTCGCTGTACATTCAACTTTTACAGCACAAAAAGTGATTGTAAATCGTGAAAACTGATCACGTCAAGCATCCAAATTGTTCAGTTGATCTTAAAATATTCAATCCGATTCATTGTTTCCATTTATTGCTTTTATTCATTCGTTTGTGCGACGACCCAATGAATTGATTGAAATTTCATTTTGATGCTGTTCGTGAAGTTTGCAGCAGTAAACAAAAATATCATTAACCAAAACATGGAGCGGAATATTTTCTACCAGCAAAAAACGTGTTGGCATCAAGCACAGCTTCTCAACTCAATAAGGTCTGAGTCCTGCATCGCATGGTGGAAAGCGGTCAGCTAGAGTGAGCAATCCAATAACCATTGAGCTAAAAAGCTCCTGGTTTCAATATCAACTGGATGCTTTGCTAAAATCTGTCGACAATTCTATCGAATCACATATGGAATGCTCAAATAAGATTACATTCAAAATCAGAATTGTTTACTTGGAAGCGCATCTGCTTAATTTCTATCAAAAATCTTATCAAACATTTTTTATCAACAAAAATGCTACATAACTTAAACTCAGTCAGCAATGCATTGAACCATGGATAATCGAGACCGATAAGCATGATATTTTAGGCAAACAAACAAAAATATTTAACACTCTGTCACAAGGCATTTTTAAGCCATAATTGAACAGTAATGAAAGAATTTGAACCGAAATTTGAACCGATGCATCGATCGAACGAAGTGATCAAAAATTTCGAAAAATTATCAAATCATCGAAAAAATGTTTTAAAGATACAAAAATGAATTCCGAAAACTTGAAAATCAGCACTCCGAAAATCAGCAGTTCGTTCATAATATTAAGTATCATTTGTTCACCGAAAGTATAATGACATATTTAATGATGTTGCGCTCACCGAAATTTCCTTTCAATATGTCGGAGATTAAAAATAACTGTCTCTTTAATCGGATATCATCAAGATTATGCTCCGATGTGGATTAAGGCTCATTACGCCACTACTCTGTGAATCTTTTCTGTTCCATAGATTTTCATTTTTCATTCCAGGTGCAAATTTGTGTGTTTAGTGCGAAAATGACATGTTCAGAGTTAGAGTAAACATTTGAGAGCGTGAAAAATTATTCAGTGCTATTTATTCTGTCCCAACTTTCCAATTCCCTTCCACTTCCCGAATCAAATCCTTCGGTCTTTCTAATAAGCATTTCATAATGACATTCATAATTTGTTCTCCTCTCCACCCGTTGCTCATAATCGCGTCGCTAAGATGTGCCGATATCTGCTTGCTAAATTCACTGCGCGGCCTTCATCAGGGCATACAGAAACGTTTTTGCATGAGCACAACTGCTTTCGTTCCAAGAGCAACACCAAAAAAACATCTCAATCATGATTATATCAGGTTGTGTGGAGAGAGATTCGCAAGTGATTGCAAGCGGTCGATTTTATGCGGTAATCGTGATTTTGAACGCGTCAAAAAACATTCATGAATACGGGAAATTGAAACTGATATTTGGATATTTGAAACTAATATTGAGATTGGGAATTCTGAACGGGAAAAGGAACACATGAAAAGAAGGAAATCAAAATGAACAATAATACATTCATGAATCCGAGAAGGTTGCCGTGAGGGCCAGTCAAGCGTTGAATTGATGAAGGCTGGAAAATGGAAGATTTATAATAGTTCGATAGGAGAACTTTTTTTTTGGCTCATTAATATTCAATATTGCGATGAATTGTTTATGACCATCTGTTTCATGACAAACACGAGTGCCGAGTGTTCGTCACGTCAATCTCATCATCGAAATGTTCGTCTCGGTTTGCAATCAGACAAAATAAGCGAATTGTGTTCGATCTATGTACAATCACCCGATCACCCGGTTCAAAATCACCTGTAGAAATCAGGTGAAAATTTGTCTGAACTCGCATTTCGCTAACGAGATACTTCCCGTCACATGTTTGCGTTCTTTATTGAAACCGACGAACACCAAAAAACATCTCAATTCATGATTATATCAGGTTGCTGCTATGTCCTGAGCAAATAAGCGTCTCTTCGATCTGTATATCTGTTAATTAATTGGCGTATGCGCTCATTTTTCAAGAAACTACAATTTCCTTTGTGAACATACTGCATCGTTGATTTTACAATGACGTGCAGTTTCTGAATCAAAGTATTTGATAAGTGAAAATCGTGTAGTTTCTATGCGAACAGCGAAATTCATTAGGATTGTGTAATGGGACCACACAACACTGAAAATGTTTCACTCTTGATGTCTTTATCAAGATGGTTATTGACTTGAACTAGTGATATTCACGTCATGATTGCGTTTGATGGAAGAGCAATTTATAGCTGAATACGCTGATATCACTGTACTTATTTCCAATAAATGTTATCGTGATAAATTTGAACGTTAAGATAGAATTTCCTTTGCTCAACGAAACCATGAATAAAGGTCATAATTTTAGTGATTCATCAGTTCCGCCTTTCAAGTGTCTTCCACATAAAACATTATGCGTTATCAGAACTAAAATATACTACAGTTCACTCACCATATTCTCATTTTACTTTCAACAACAACAGCAATATAAATAGTTCCTTTGCTTTTCATTGAAATTTAGTGATGTGCATGGAGAATATTCAAGAGAACATGGGCTGCCCAAGTTCGTCGCTCTTTATTATCCAGATATTGGCATGCATTAAAACATTTAGGCATTAATCGCAGACTAATAAAGCGACTAATAAAGATTTGATCAAACAATGCGATTCTTTTCAATTTACCGCCCGCCGCCTTCCTTCATTAAATCAGCACAAAGTTCCATTAAGTTTGCGCCAAGTGATCAACGCCGATCTACAGTATGGAATGAAAACTTTCACAGATACATAAAGAGAAAAACGAAGCTCAATAGAATAATCATTTATTCGAAAACTCCGAAAAGTGATAAAAACAAATCATGTGATGCCTGGCTGATCACAGAGTTGGAGGTATATTCCTTGGAAGTTGAATTTGTTGTATGTGTATGTTGATGGAGTGCATTTTATTTGAGTCTGACTCATTTCTCTACCATATATTCATCAAACCCATCGTAATGGACACCAAAACTGAAACAAATTCATCATAGGAGACTCTACCATCGAAATGCAAACTTACTGACGAATTAAAATGAAGCGAATGCTTTAGTGATGTCAGCTTTCAATATTGTCGTATTGAGTATCAAAATATTAAAAGTTCCTTTGAATTGATTGTGAGCTACTGTACTTTATGATGTATGGCTCTTCAGAAATTGCGGAAACTGTATGAGACAATCTACTTTGTCTGAAGATAGTTCAAGAAATTCACAGTACTGCATTTACAAACGAACTTCCGTGCAGTTAATGAAAATGATAGAGTACAGCAACATGTCAACCAACCACTTGAACAACTTCAAAACAACTAGAGCAACTCATTCTATACGAACACAATATTCTTCATACCTTTATATTACCTCATTAATTGCAAAGGATCCCACTGCTATTCGATACTCTATGCAAGTGTTGATGTGCCTGGAAACGAACCTGGGAGAAGTTCTGTTTTGACGTCAGTTAACGTTTCAGCTGAGGAGTTTGCAAATTCCCACATGTTCGTTTTCGCTGATTTCGTGTCTTGGCAAAGCTTAAATATACAACATGAGAGAAACCATTTGAGATATATCACTTGTTAGAAGAATTCCACTTACCATTCACATGGCATCTTGGTGTGACTTTGGTGTCGTCATCAAAAATTGCTTGAAAGTTGAAAAATGACCTTGATCGCTTCCTGATACTCAGATACACTTTCGGAAGTCTAAGACAATTGTGGTTGATTTTGATACTAGAGAAAATTTATCTTTCCACTCAAGTCAGTGCGCTCAGCCATATCAATAGAATTGCGCTTTCAATACATCAACGGCAATCCGAATGTGCAATTGAAGCTTCAACATACACCCAGAGAGGAAAAGGAAACCGTGGCAAATCTATGAAATGTTCGTTACCGCAGATTTGTCTGCACCCGGGTAGAACTCTTTGGCGTAGTCGCGAAAAATTGTATAGGTACACTTCTCTGCCTTGATACGCTCACATCCTATAATGAGAGCAGCTTGTGGATAGCTGAATATAACTGATAATCAAGTGGTTCTTAGGCAGAGAACTTGGTGAATATATAATTCTGATCTGTCACTGATCACATAGAGGATGAACTAGTGTAACAAAAGATAGCATCGATCATAAGAAAGAAACTTCATTCAACTGGGTAACGTACACGAGATAATTACAGTAAGATTTGAATAACAACTCTAATTATGAATTCTTATATGCATTCTGTGTAAAACTTTCGTTTTCATCTATTCGTTCCACTTTGAAATCAGATGTATTTGATTGAAATATCACAGATTCTCCTACGGATTTTTTTCTCAACGCTCAAATGATGAAAAGAAGGCGAGTGCATAGGATAGCCAAGAGAACATCGCAAAAACAAACCATTTATTGTCGTTGTGGCCACTCTGAATTGAGTTGTGGAATTCTTAAGATAGAGCACCTGAAATTCGTTCAAATTATAAGGGATTATTCTTTAACGGTACTGAATGTAATCCGAATCGCTGGACTCAATGGATACTGACAGCCAGCGCTGCCTGCATATTGCTGTAGAAACGAAATTGCATCTAATCTTAGCAGTTATTTAACACGTGATCCAAATTCTATTGCCATACAAACAACATTTTCGCTCGCAAATGCCCCATAAAATATACGAGTCGCTCCAATTTCGAGTGATCAGAGTTGGTATTTATCATTCATTGAATATCACAAAATTATCCCCCCTCAGAAATTACCCAGAGAAGCGCCCCTGAGGTGACTGGTTACTGCTCACCGGTCTTAGAGTCAAATGAATTCATAACTTACTCGTAATGCTGGACCATTGTCGGTTTGCCATAGCTCAAATGATAGACATGCCGAATAGTCGGGATGACCATGTTGCAGCAGTGTATGTTTTACACCAAGCGTTGACATAAGCGCCAATAGTGTAGTGTCATGCTGAAAAGTATTCGTTTGAAAACGGCCATTGTGCACTGAATAATACTCTGAGCAAACATTCTGATGATAAGCTCAATCTTCCAATTAGAGTGACAATCATGTCATTAATCAGAGATGGACAACGTTAACAGAAAACTCGAAAGCATCTATTCAGCCTAACTGTTGAACGAAGTAAACGCATTGATGTCAGTCATCAAAAGGAATTATTAATGTGGAACTAACACCACCCTGATCACTCACTTCCTTCAAAGTATATCTGTCGCGGTGGAACGGACAACCCCATCTCAATACTCTAATGAGATTTTATGAATGAGATGATTGTCATTCCACAATACTGAGTATTATCCACCAGCGATGAAAACCACAAATTTTGGAGGAAAGTGTCTATCGCACGCCTTTTTAATGCATTTTGAAGATTACCAGGCAACTTGCAGCCGTATGTGAAATCATAAAACATCAAATTTTTGATTATTCAAACCTATTAGCTAATAGATTCGTATGCAAACAGGATATCTTTAAACTCGAATTAGAGATCGAGCTGATCACTTAAAAATGTAGAGAAGTGAAAAGATCAATGTGAGATCAATTGACAATCCCACGAACCGACAATCTCTTGCTGGATCGAACTCACCGCGGAATATGCGTAGTATCGCAGATGCTTCATCCAGTTACATTGCGGTTTGTCTTGATTGGCTTGCTCGTAGCAGAACAGCTGAAATTTTCACATATGCAAATTGCAGAAACATCTTAAAGAACAACATAACACTATATTCCTATCGCATCTCGAAAGCCTTCGACCGAAGTCAATGATAAACAGATTTATGAAAACCAATTGAGTATCAAAATTACGATTTAAGACCTTCAAATCGAAGTTATCGATGATTGCCCACAGAATGCTTCCACCTCGAACCTTTGGAACTTCCACTCGAAAATTGATATTGTCCACTGGTGTTAGATCTGAAACCTTATCTGCTTCTTAAGTCCATTTATCTGACTTACATGAAATTAGTTGAGTAGATAAGGGAGAATCTTTGAAAAGGCATGAGGTACACAAGGGATGTCAACATGGGATCGGCTGTCTCACCAAGACCATTTCCATAGTCTACCAATAGATCCATGATTTCATCAATTCGTTGATATGCCGTTTCATCAATTATTCGCTGTGTTTTATTGTACAACCTCTAAAATCACGAAATTAGTTTTGAGCACATTATCGGCACGATTATTTATGTCATTATCAGTGTAGTTATATTAATAGCATATGTCTTGCTTAATTGTTTGATTATATCATAACCACCATCATAATACATGCTAATATCGTTACAGAAAATTGCTCTCTGTGACAGAGCCATAGATTAAGTCGTTTGAGCAATTGTGCGAGTAAAAAGCTAGAATATCTCTCAGCAATACTCCATTTTTAAAAGTGTTGGTAATGAAATTTTGTGGAGTAACAATTTTAGAATTGATTATAATATGCTCAAATGACTACTGAAAAGTTAACATTTAGATGGCAAGTTAAGGCTGTAAAAGAAGAAAACGAAGGCAGAAAAGCATCGGAAATGAACACTGACCTCAATATAAAGCGTGTCACGAAGATACCAAAACCTATCCAGTGTTATATTGTCACCTGTGACAGTGGTAAGTTCTTTCATGAATTGCTGAAAAATTGCTGACTCTCAATGTAAAAATACTATCCTGAGCACTTGTTCAAGCTGATCACAAATGTTCAGCGTGCAAGCAGTTTCAGCGATTGTGAGAGATATGCGCATTTTCGATGAGAAATTTCGGATTGCTTGAGTTGTGACGACGATCACATGAATTTGCTAACTCTTTTTTTGAGATCAATAGTAATTAAGGTATGACATACGAACATCATTTTCTTTCTCCAGTTTTCTGAATTCAGGAGTCTCTTTTGTTTTGCTCCATAGCCATTCACGCCGGGGACAGTAAGCTCTCGGATTGCCAACCTGAAACTTCATCAAGTTATAGATTTTGGAGATCAGTAAGGCATAGTTCAGATCACATACACACACTCGGTATGATTGATTATTGCGGAACAAATGCTTCAAATGAAAAAAAAAATGCAATCAGCTGAGCCTGTTACTCACATAGTCGTGAGCATAATCAACAGTTGCATGTACCGGAAAAGGTACAAATAAACCGGGCCATCTGGTATTGTTTGGGAAGTTAACATTGGGAATAGACTGTGTGCGATTGTAGTACATGCCGATTAAGTTCGAATATGCGCTGATATAGGTTCGATTCACGTCTGTTGTTCGGACGTACATCTGAAATTCAGTGATATTGACGGCGATTCGATCAATTTTGAGATGAAGTGAGAATTGAGGTGGAAGTTCAGTTGAGTTTTACGTCTAACGGAGACTGATCGAGATGTTGAAGAATTTCTAGGGAACACTTTTGTATGTTGAGTTGATTGATCAGTGCTGAAAATAAGTCATTCTGGCTGCAGATTATCGCCTCAACAAAACCTATTTCCCTACGATTTTTCAATGCAGAGCTGCTCTGCCGTTGTAAATAATGACCAACCTCATTGAATTTATACGATGTATTCAGAAATTTATTCTTCACGACGTACTCTTTGTATAGAAGGTCACCAAGCTCCATCATTTGCTCCATGCCTATCTGAATGAGACAATTCTCAGAGAGTTGGCTGCTTTCAAGTAGCATTTATGAATTTCATCGTACTTTAAAATAGGCATTTCATCAATCTTTTAGCTGTATTTCAGTATTTTCTAAGAAATGAACAAAAAATTTTTTGATGCCTTTTCGAACATTCATTTCTGAGTGACTTCATGAAGTTAAAGGCTTGTGATCAGTTCAGTGTAATGCTCACTGGAGTCAGCTGTCCCCAGCCAAGTGACCAAGCATCCTCTTGATAAGGATCAGACTTGAAAGTTTTTGCGGGCGTTCGATCGCCATGTCGCCAAATCTGAAAATTCTTTTCACGAACTGACGTCACCTCTTTGCTCTCATACCACTTCTACATCAATAATCACTTTCAGTTCTTATGAATACATCAGAATTTTTTTGGTATTGTTCAACATACATAAGATTCTCTCCGTCCTATGTTAAAAAATGTCGGAATACCGGAATCCTATGAATAATGAGCAACTATGTCCGTTGCTGCACCTCATTCCATCAGATGAATAATTGCGGCACCTCGAAATCGTGGCACCTCCTTTTAAGTTTAAGATTTTCTACAATGAGGAAAATTCTCAATTCCAGCTCGCTTCAATCGATCATGAATATGATGCTGATTGAACACAGTTCATGAGCATTCTATATAAATGATCTCCGTCGATCAATTATTCATCAAACTGTTAGGATCATTGTTTATGGCGATGAGGCAATCTGATCATGACAGTGATGTACTATGTCTTGTTTCTCACAGCGAACTTTATCATATCTCTTGTCTAAACGTCTGAACTTACCACTTGCACCATAATCAGTTTGTCAGC